ACCATTCACTGGATCCTGTTACAATACAATAAAAAATAAAACATAAAACGGAGAAATTTAAAATGCAAAAATATATCGAAATCAGAATATGAAATTAAAAGAAAACTTAATAGGGATAGAATAATATTTATCAAAATTTAAGTAATCAATAATAAACAGTAAATAATGATTACGCCAAATTATGGACTAAAATTCTAATCCTTCTCAATCTAAGATGAAAGTAATCCAATGAGTTTAGAATATATCATTTATGGTTAACAGTATGATTTATCAGATGGATATTTCCGTCAATAGGCCAATACGCTATTCACTGGGTTTCTGAGTCCAGATAGCCATTAACCTGTTCAACAGATACCCTGAGTAATAATGACATAATCTCTTATACATTCTTTTACTAAGTATTTACAATATAGTGAATGAAATAACAGGATATCGTTGTGCACGTGTGTGTGTGTATACATACAAAACCTGCGTATTTATAAATAATATGGTTTACAGTTATAGTACGTTATCTGTATCTTGCAAGACCCACATGGTAACGTAAGGTATCAGAGTAAAAGGGACATAAAAACTATAAGTATTCATAGTGATTACTGAAGGAAATCAAAGAAACGTGGAAATTATTCGAAAAATATTGAGTGTTACCGACAAAATGATTGTTACTCTGATAATAACAGTGTTGACATTGATTAAAAGACAGAATAAGGGAATGTTCGAACTCACAATCTAAATTAAGACATTAAATTCATTTGGATTATTGTAACTGATTTTGACTTGTGTTATCTCATATTTGCAACCGTTAATCGTAGTGATTATATGAACTCCTACCAAGTAATTCGCATTTACTAACATCCATCATGCCAAAAAGCAATGGCTCCATGAAATGATGTCACGTTTTGGTTTGGTCGCTTTTACCTTTCTTCCAACTTACTCTCCTATATTAGCTAGCATTGACCGCTGAGTCGGGCAATCATTAGGTCTAAGTAACACAAGTATCATGTAGTTTGGTCAGTGAACAGTAAGTAACTAGTATCATGTTGTATCCAAACCTCATAGTTGATCAAATCTTTAAAAGATCAATATATTAATTTAATATTCCAGGCACATTTGTAAATGAAAGTATTAACTAACATGAAACTTAGGTCAATTGGCCCCAATCATATAACATTATTCACTAACACCTATTATTATCTGATCAATAATTAGAGTTGTTATAAATAACTTGGTGGTCATTTATCACAAGTTTGTACGATCATCATGTAGTGAATGTATAATAATACCGTTTTTAATTCATTTTGTAACAAAACTGGATCTGTATTTATTCAGTCAGTAACAACGTAGAACTTCGTACGTACGTACAACAGTTCGAGTTGCCACACCACATTAGCACAGAGATGACGTGGTCGATTCAAATCCCATAGTGATAGACGTAGTAAGAGTATAAGCAGTAATCGGAAAGATTAGTGTTTGGATATGGTAGTTAAAGAATATAATCCAGTGAAATAAACTTGGGAAGAGAAAAAAGAGACAAGGAGGAATCAGGAGATTAAAATTTGAGAGAACACAAGGAGTGAATGCACCTGCGCCATTGAAAACGATTTTGAGCCATGTCATTCAGGGTCTCTAACCATCGGTTGCTATCATCTCGCGATCCCAAACCAGGTAGTCTACACCTACCGACATGACTCAGTCCACTTGTCAGTGACTTCATGGACTTGTGCCATGTTTTGGTCTGGCCGCCCTTAGCTTTATTCCAATCTACTCCCATACCACTGAACATCGCACATCGAGGTAGTCGGTCGTTGAGCACACGTAACACGTGTCCCAGCCATCTCAACTGATGAAGTTTCACCACTTCGTCAATCGATTTGCCGTCCTTACCTAGTATCCGTATCTATTACACAATAACAACAAACATGTTTATTTCTCTTAAATAAAACTTTTCATCATATTGACATATGAAACATGTACACTTATATTTCTTCTCTTATCTAGAAATGTTAATGAGATGTTGAAAGAGGAATAAAGCCTTCTCATAATATTGTATGATGGCATATATCACAATTATTAAATCATTTTTATGCCTATTTTATTATTCATGATGTTTTTAGACAATATTCCAGTATGAGTTAAATCAACGATGAGTACGGAGTTTAAAGTTGTGGCCTAGTAAGCTATAAAGTAGTTGATTTACAACCACAGGTTACAATCCTATTCTGGATTAATAAATCGAGTAGTATCACTGAAATTCCTTATACAATTCGCTGTAGGACAAAGCTAAGCAGATAAGCCTGTATTCAGTGAAGGAGATGCATCTAATTATTAGTTTTTAACTCAGTGTTTATAGCTAAGAATGAATTATTAATTAATGAGATTATGAAGTATTATTAAACAAGTTCACTAGAACATGTACCATGTACACTTATTCAATTAATCTTTACTATCATATTAGATGAAATAAAAGCGAGCTGAATGAAGATAAAAGACAAACACACGGTTTTAATCATAGCCATTACTGAATGGTTGACAAAAGGTTCTCGCAAATATTAGAAGGCTTGGTAGAAATACACTGATATATCCTAACTGTAACTGCTACGTTAACGAGGTAGTCAGGCTTGAACATCGCCATGACCTAATCGAGGTATATATTGACCGGAACATTCGTTCATTTAAACCAGTTGGAGAGCAGTAGGACTAAAAGTAGTAAGCTTGTGGTCCGAGGGCGAAGTCATACAGCTGACTGTATTGGAGATATGACGGAAGTAAAGTGCTTCCCTCAGACAACCAACATCTTCAGAGATGCTGACTTCCGACAATGGGAGGAGTTAAAGGTCGATCCTGATAACAGAACACCTCACCTTACCCGTGTTTCACGTGATTCTTCGTTCTCAGCGGTAAGGTCTTAAAGTTACGAACCTAACTCACCTAAAAGTGCTCTAAAAGGACTGCGGGTAACTGGCCTCTAGAAGTTCTTACTTAGAGACCGTACGTCCGCTCCTAGGTCGTCAAGACTACCCATAACGCAATTTTCTTTTCAGGCACTTCGAGAAGTATCCTTTTACTGTATAAGCAACTGCGAGGTGAAGAATGACTTCATACTTCTAACTGAATATAAGGTTAAAGTTTCCATAATCACGCATAGATCTATGTAATAAATAAAGCTGATTACATATATTAATGCATATTATGCTGCCTACTTCAGCAAAACTGGAAGATACACAGTATACAAACTAGTAGATGTTAGACTTCCAAGAAAAAGTTAACGATAAATATAAGTTAATCATGTATCGAATTTCAAAATTGCCGTTTAGAATTCGTAAGATTAAAGACCCTTGGGACAATGAGTTAAAATAGTTCCCAAATGATTTTCTACATATAACTTCCTGAACATTTTTCAAAATCATATACATCAAGTTAATTACTTGTTTATTTATCCATATCCTACAAGTTGTTTTATGTCTTTTTCCACTATCTATGTGTCTCAGTCAGTCAGAAACAAGGTAGAACTTAGTACGTACATCAGTTCAAGATGCCATATCACATTAGCACAGAAATACAATTGTCAATTCAAATCCCATAGTGATAGAGGTAGTAAGAGTATAAGCAGAAATCGGAAACATTAGGGCTTGAAGATGTTATTCAAGGAGTATAATCAAGTGAAATAAATTTGGAAAGAGAAAAAAGGGACATGAAGAAGTCAGAAGATTAGAATTTGGGAGAACACAATAAGTGGATACACCTGCGCCATTGCAAACGATTTTGAGCCATGTCACTCAAAATCTCTAACCATCGGTTGGTATCGTCTAATGGATCCCAACCAGGTAGTTTACACTTACCAGTTACTAAATAAAATCAACATAAAGAATCATAAACTCTTTAATCACAATTGAAGATGTTAGATTACATGAAAACTGTTATCAATGGGAGAAATATATCAATTATTCTTACTTTTAAATATTAATCGTTTATGAATCATAATTTCTCCGTATGCAAAATTTATTATGCATTTATGAAACAGCTTACACTCATAACAGTACATAAATGGTCTGAGTTATCATACTATGAAATTAATAATTCAGTTATTAACTTATAACTCAACAATATTTTAATATAATTAGTGCTAGTTGCGATCAATTTATATTTTAAATATTGTAGAATGGTAACCATATTTGCCACTTTGATAAGGTGAAAAAAACAGGGACTTCGGAATAGAAAATGTTTCTTTTTTAACTCTTGTCATACTAGACAGGTCGATCGGATAGCGTTAAGAGTAAAAGCAAAAAAAATCTACGTCATTTCTAAATCTCAAAAGGACGATGAACGAAGGCGGCTTAAATATAGATTGATAAAAGAATACTGTGGTCAAAGAGAGTTGGTTAAAACTGAAAAGGCTGAGGTAATAAGTAACAATAGACTCTTATTTAGACCTATCCAATAAATTATAGCCTGAAATCAACCAATGAAAATAACGGTCAGTGACTAATCTTTAAGTCAAGTCGTTGGAAGAATAAGCAGAACACTTTGAAGAACAGTCCAACCGGCTTCCAATTACATTCTAAATGCACGCTACTCATCAACTCTAGGCTAATATTTATGGTATAAAGGGGCTATGGTGTTTGGACGGTCCAAGTAATGCCGTCTAGTTAAACTAATGTTGATTACACAAGTTTGTAAAGGTAAAAATCCTCTTCTAATAGCCATAGAGTGATTAATTTGAGGTAAAGTTCAACTGGCTTTCAGATATTGCCCAGGTGTTCACCATCCGAAAAAAGTTTGAGAAGGTTGCGAAAGCGTTAAATTTAATTCAACAAAGAGAATGGGTATATTATGCTACTGTCTGTTGGCTTAGGTTGTGTAGGAAAGTGAAGGCTTTCTCGTTATATTATTGCTATTCACATTATCCTATTTCTAAACCTAATCTTAAATTGATATCGTCAAAGTGATTTTTTAAATAAAACTTTTTCATCTTTAAATTTTAAACAAAAAAAATCATAACTCACAGCCCAATTGGTTAATTTGGGATTTATTCCTAGCAAACGTTTCATATCTGCAACACGACAATCGATAACTGCCATCCACCATAAACGAGTTTCATTGCTAGTAAATGTAGAGTAGACAGAAGGACGAACAGCAGCAACATTGACAGAAGTAGCAGGAGTGGTAATAGCGGTGGTAGGAACTAACTGAGGAGAAGAGGGAGGTGTCTTATGGGCCACTGGCTAGTATAATATAAAAAGCGCATATACAAAGTCATTTTTCAAAAAGTATTGATGTAATATATACATATATATACATTACGACAGAAGTACTATTAGACTTATATGATGGGCGATAGAATACTAGCTGGTATACATTTAAAAATCTCCAGTAGTTTAGAATATAATTTGAGGCTAGACACTTAGCTTCTGAAAAGAGATAATCTTTTCATTATCTTAATGAACCACTGTGATTTTAAACGCCTTAGTATCACTTTATAGTGGTTTACGTAACGGAAAGCTCTTTAGAACAGAAGCCAGTAACTCAGGTATCAAGTGAAAACTCATGTATTCAACTTTAAAATATACTTATTATGTGAGGAATTATGATGCCAAACTGTTTTTCAAACCCATGTGGGCAGGGTGCTACCTAAACCTGAGACCCAATTGTTAAAAGTAAAGTCTTAAACACTAAACCAGCTTATAGCCATCTAGCTGTAAACAATAAGGTTTCTCGTTAAAAAAAATTAAATCCTTTCCCAACGACATGAACGAACCAAGTATTAAAAAAAAACACTGGGACAGGTTTGGAAAATAGTTAAACGTCTATATTTACGGGCGTTTTCAACCAGATTATTCAACATGAAAATCTTATATCTATTTTGCTATTTTACGCAGTGGTAACAGTTCAAACCTTTTCCAGTTAGTGGTTACAATATTTTTTTAATACATAACGTACAACAATACCATAAATTAATATCACCAACTAAAAGTCAGTTCAATCAAAACTTTCCTATTTTGAAAGTTTACATCTACATTTTAAAAATTCAAATAGATAATTACACAATATACTTACCAATTTTGTTGACTGACTTTCTTGAGATGATATAATCTGAAATCAATGTCGCTAAAAAGAACTAATCAGCTTACCGTTGATTTGGGGACATTTTGGTTTTCTGAAGACTCTGAAGTTGTTGTTTGAGTAGATTGACACATCTGATAGATAATTAAACCCAATGGGTGGACTTACATTACAAGCTAGATTCTCTTTATCTCGAGCTAAATCTTTCAACACCAAATATCTCTTTTTGTCCTGAAAAAAAGTGCATATGCAAAATATCATGGATTTCCTACCGAGCCATATTCAACCACAGCAATTGAAGTAATTAGTTTCTTAATAGAATACCGTGTTTCTGAAACAAAAATTCTCAACGGGTCATGATATACATAGAACTAAAAGTCAGGTAAAAAACTTTTAATGTCGATTTACTCGAGGCGCCTACCATGAGCCGAAAATACAGTGATTACTTATTGAAAAGCTTGACCTGACATCACCGTGTGGTTAGAAGTTATTTCCGAAAACAGTAACATTGAAACGATAATATTGATACTTTGTGAAACTAAATTTATTTGCATTCCACAGCAAATAAAAACGATCTCCCACTTCGACTCAATAACTAAAAGTGTGTAGACTGGTTTGATTTATCTCTGAAGTATGAAGTTTCATAATACTTCCCGTAGATTGAAAGAATCTTCAGACTACGGTTCACTGATGTAAATTTAGGCGCCTAAATGAGATTGTCACGTTTTAATGATACAGATAATATGTATTTGAACGTAAGAAATGATGTGTGTTGTTTTGTAGAATCTGAGTTAAATTCAAGATACTTGTTCATAAAACCCATTTACAAATACATGAAACAACTGATGACACTTTGATACAGTAGTAAATAAATTATCTATCTGAACCATTTTTATCCTTAAAATCCACAACCTGAGATTCACACAATTATAGCAACGGACTGGATTTTTGAACCTACATGTCACAACTAAATTTCAGGGAACGACAAAAACTAAATAATTTGTGTAGATCTCAATTAAGAATACTTTACAAAAGACATAAGTTAACGAGCACATTGAAAATCTTAATTTTGATTAGCTAGCTGTTAACTATAAATGATTACATAGGATTTTGCATTGAGGCAGTGGAGCCGTAAGCTGTCAGGAAAGAAGGGTGAGTGAGAAAGGTGATGACAAACGTAAGGAAAATTCGATCTGGGATTTCTGCTTACCAAACAATACAGTTTGAAGTCGTAACCCCAACCCTAGTAATTCTATTAACACACTTATATGAAATAAAACATAAAACCCTACTAACCATTTTCGAGAGTTAAAAAGACGACAGAAAGGTACATATATTTGCTCTGTAACAATAGCTAGTAATACAAACCATATGTATACTTGTGACTGTACAAGGCATAGAAGTGGGATCATTAGTAATAATATCCATCACTACATTGTTAGTACTAACCAATCCCCGGGTTTCGCAGAAATACAGAGATTTCTTCCAAATTCATACGAAGATCTGTAGCTTACCCTCAAATCTGAGAAAATTGTGGTAATTCCAAAACTTTCCCCAAATAACTTAATATGTTTTGAAAAAAGCCCTGACCAGGGAGAAACTTGAGGTTTGTGTCGCAGTCCCCCAAAATATTTCAATTACATCTACCCGAAAATTTCACCAAAACGGACAAAATGTAACCTAGAAATCGGGAGATTGGGCAAATGGCGAGACAGTAGTAATCCTAATCAAACTGGTTGTGGTTGAAGTACTTTACAGAGACATTTCTAAGGACTTAAATGAAAACTAAATTGTAGGGACAATACAAATAAGTACGTTAGCCATTGTATTATTCAAGTAGAAAAACACGTATTTAAAAGTAACCCATAATCCGGTTATACAGCATTAGAGTGCACACAGAAGAGCAGTGAATTACCTCGGCTTAATAGTTCGTCATCTTTAATGAATTTGAGGATCTGTTCACCGGAGACACGACCTCCGAAATCGTTAAAAGCCTGAACCAGCCTTGACCTTGCATTTATAGACATTTAAATGATGCACTGAAGACAGTATCTTTTCGCTACCACAGTTGTTTTACTGCAGTCGTAAACAAAATATCTTTGATTACAACGCTCATGAAAAAAACCCATCTCAACTATATACTTGATAATATGCATCATTATAGTGATTGACCCTTAATATCAAACTTCGACCTTAATGTAAATGGGTCAGGTGATGTATATTAATTAACTTACCCATGGGATGTGTTAATAAAATGCGTGGTAGTGTAAATTATAGCGATTTAAACTTGAATAAGCTGTTTTGTCTTGTTTCCTGAACTGTCTAGTTATGTAGTATAAGATAATCACTACCGAATTGTATAAATAAAAGGAGCCACATTAACATGAAATCTATCATTTGATACGGTGGAGAAGATTTGTAGCTCAGGTAGATGATTTTGGTGGAGTTTTGTTCTCTGAGCTGGGTGGTTTGGTCGTGGAGCTTTAATCGTTCTTCTGAACGACATCATCAGCACAAACTTCAAATAGAAGTCTGATTAATAACATAGGCGAAGACTGCTTCACCACTCACCTCAGTACAGTATTTTTCGTTCCTTTATCACTTACCTCTGCTGATATATTGTCGATTTATTTTCTCGATGGATTGTTTACGGATAAAACGCTTATGTACTCAGTATAAGAAGTGGATATAACGCTCGTGCATCGAAAGTAAGATATGAAGAGGTGCGAGTAGCACATTATTTAAGACTACTATTATGGTACTATATCTTTTTAAAAAAGAGGTAAGTACGTTTTGTCATCTGGATAAAAACACAAAATTTAATAGACCAACATTGTAATAGGTAAGTGCTTTACATTTTAGGCTTAGTCCAAAACTGTGTATATCTATCCCCGTCTAACAGATTATGCCGTCAAACCGTTTTGGTAATCGATAGCGAATTCTCGTTGTTACTTGTGAATCCTATGATTTCAGTAGTTGAGATCATGAAGCCAGACCACCATGGAAGACCTGGAAGCTACTGGACAGCCGTTTCGTCCTATTGTGGGAATCCTCAGCAGTGCGTATCCACGACCCCGCCTCGCGGGATTCTATATATACTACATGTATAAAGTGAATTTATCCGCAACGCAACCATGTAAACATAATGTGTCGCCCAGTGTAATAACGGTCATCTGTGCGTTCAAGTAACCACAGATTTTTCTTTTCATAATGTATTTTTAATTAAATAACCAGATTATGTAGCTAATTTTGCTATGTTTTTAATTTTTATTCGCCACGTCCGACTGCGCTAAACTGCACGTCCATAGCATGCTGTGATGATGTCTCAAGTCATAGTGAGTTTAATCACATAGTTTATTGTTTCCAGATAGACGGTCAGTGCATGATGTTACTGAGGAAATGTCTGTTGTACTGTAGACTATGTTTTTATGAACAACTGACTGTTGTCTTCAGTCTGAAAGCAATATATATATATATATATATATATATATATATATATATATATATATCCTTCGTCTTCTGTTAATTATGTTCAAATAACCTTTGTTTAATGTTTTGGTTTTATCGGCTGATTTATGTTCATTTTACTCCGTTTAGCAACATGTCTGTGCAAATGGAACAATAATTATGACACTTGCTTAGTTTAGCATTCGTGGTTGCCGTTATAATTTAGATTAGTCGATAGAATTATAGTATACTTAAGTATAGTGCTTAAAGCCTGTAACGAAACGGATCAGTTTAGTAAGTAGAGCTACCTGGTTTTAGTGAGTATACTGATTCAAATCAGTCTGATTAAAAATAGGAAAAAACGTGCCTTTGATGCTGTTGCTGTCATATATTATAAGATAGCTTTAAGTACGTTTGGTGTTTATTTGTAGACAGTACGTCTAACACTGTTCATGTTTCAAGATCACTGTCATTAAACAATTTCCCCAGCAATAACATTGATAGCAGGATAGCTAAGTGTCTGAGCTTTTATTTGCCTTCAGAAGAGCAGTGTACAGTCTTAGAAGATGAGTGTTCTGTTTCTCAATTAAATGCAGCTGGCTGTAGACAAATATTAGGAATCTTTTTGACAACTGGGAGTTTTAGTTTATCAGACACTAGCTCTGCTTGTATGACTCTCTGTTAAACTAGACGCAGATGAATGGTAATACTTAAATGAGAGCAAAATAATTAAAGCACTGAAACACAGTACCAAGTCCATGTTATGCTTTGAACATTCGTTTTATTATTTATTTCAACACATAGATATTTGTACAAAGAGGCACCATATACATATGCGCCACACAAATCTCATTCGATATGTGTGAGGGATGTGATATTGCCCGGACGTCCAGACAGAAGCAGGTGGTTTTCTTAGGGGACCACTCCCCGAGCCTTCGACCTGAGGGTTTGATCCACAAGTCTGTGGCCGGTGACCGAAAATTGGTTCATGCGTCATTTGTTTCTTCAGGACACTGGAGTCCATGTGCACCACTGGTTTGGAATTCTGTTAAACGCCGGACATTCGCCTTTCGTCCTCTCATTTTCGTAAACAACACCCCTGGTGTGAGAAGGCAGTGAGTAGAACTTCCCTGGCAGAGGCTATATACGCGTGGCCATGTGAGAGCATTTCGGGAGGGAAAGCGGACTCTCCCCAATCTCGGCCGTATCAGGGCATTTGGGGGACATCCTTTGCACAAGTAATGGCTGACCTGATCTAATATTCATGAACTCAAGGTAAATCGCAACGGCATAAATTCTTTGCTGAAAAACATGTAATTTGATTACTTATTTATTCCACATTTCTGACTAAATTCATCACTATTTTTTTCATTTAGAATGCAACAGGACTGAGACTTCACAGATCCTAAGAACTGGTTCGCCCTTAGAACTATGGCCCTATGAAACTTTACGGGAGACCCAACTAACAGCAGATTATAAGAAGGATGCTGGATGTCCATTTTAGTCTCACAACCACTTCCAGTACTTTTCGAGTTATTTCTTTTACCCTTTCGTTTGGAAAAAAACAACAAAAGCTTGGGCTTAACATTACCAATGGAACTTTTAAACGAGAACATGGTTTAAATCTTTGTTTGATATTCGATTCTTAATGAAAGTTCTCGAATAAATTTTTGAATCTAACGCAACTTTGTTTTATCTACTTAATCGTTGCAAGAAACTTGTGATAAGCGAGCCTCTCAGCACCTAATTCATGTGTTCAGACTTCCTTGTCTAGTAGCAGGGGATCACCAAGACCTCCAGGCAGGAACCTATGTATGTCAACAATGAGCGAGGAAAAAGAAATTAGTCAATCATAGTGTGATTCTATCCTTAAGAATAAACCCAGTTGCCTCTTAAAGGACTCCTGGGAAGTCGCATGGACTAGCCCGGCGGGCAGCGAATTCCAGCATTTGACAACTAAGGAGTAAAAGTTGTGTCTACAGTACGCCCTCCTATGTTGTCTCCAGTTTCTGGGTGTTATTCCTTAGGTTAGTGTTGGAACTAAGCTTAAGTAGGTGTTTGAGAGGATGTCCAGAGGTGTTAAGGATACTGTAAGCTATTTGGTCACCTCTAAGGCGTCTATACTCCAATGGGTTAAGGTTAAGTGATTGGAGGCGCTTTCCATAAGGTGATTTGGTACATATCTCCATCATTTCCCTGGGAAACTTACAGACTCGGGTCCTCTCACAACTTCTATTTAATTACGGCTCATTATGGTTTAGTGGGATGTCATGAACTTATGGTATTGATGCTGACTTATCACGCAAAATACCTCTTTAAATCGTGTTACGAATGTTGATTAGGTTTCACTTCCTCCCAGAAATCTTATTACAAGCAAACCAGACAATTCGCTAATATGCGAAGCCTACTGAAGACCCTATAATACCTGGGGAAAAAAATAATAATACAAAAAAAAACGAAAGGGGCTCTAATTGCTTCGATAATAAAAGGAAGATAGCCAATTGCATATCACAATACTGTTTCTAGCACTATATTTTATTTTATAACAACACATAATCCCGTACTCTCAGTTCCCTTCCGAATTGCCTCCATTTGTCAGTTGTATGTCCACTCACACCTTGTTAACACTTATTTTCTTTTACCTATTAAAATGCTCTTTCTTAACAAATACCTTAATAAAAGAAAATTAGTCTGAGTAATCATACATTAAACATTCCTTCATGAATATTGGCTACTCTGCCTCTCGTCCTTTCTTTTGCATGCTCCCTCTTTTAGCCCCCTTGTGATATGGAACGAAAGATTTCATCCTGCACCATCCTCAAAGCCTTTGACATTTCAAAGGGACATAAGGTTGCAACATTTTGAAGCTCCAACCTTCGAAGGACCTATCCTTGACCATCAGTCGCACATTCGAAACGCAACTTTCATGAAGCGCGCCGACTGTGGCACTGATTAAAACCATCTAGATTCATATCTTATAAATTATCAACCCAGCTATGTAATTTACTGCAGTGAATATTGTATCATTTGTATCGATTTGATCTTGCCTGTAAACTGGCTTGCCTCATGTAACAAACTGTTGTTTGAGAATAAATTATTATTATTATTATTATTAAATTATTCTAGCCACCATGAGATGTCACGGCAGCTGATGGATGGACACGCGTTACGCATCCTAACCGTCCCTGCGTCTAATCCTATAGCTCCTTATTCAAATGCCATATGATAAGCAAGCAATGCCCCTATCCGCACTAATGGAACACTAGTAACTCAAAGGCACCCTGTGTGGTACCTTACGTTGATCTACGCACACGCTTAGCTCTTTAGGGAGAACATTACTACAGTCCTGCTAAAAATCTCATGAACCCCCCTATCTCCATCAAAAAAATAAGTCTGTATTTGCTGCATATAGCATTTTTATTTTTCAAAAGTAAGATGTAATATAATTGGAGTAAAATGGCAGTATACAGCAGATGCACGTGGCACATGTCTTCATCGATTAACTGAAATAGAGAATGCGGATATTAGCTTAACCGGCTTGTTTAGAAAGACTAGTGTTTACTTTGAACTTACTGCGTGA